AACGGCACAGATTCGCTTCCCTCTTCCAAGCGACCCTGAACATCGCCAGACGCCAGACACTGGTCGTGGTTGGGGACTTCAACGCCCAACATCCGGACTGGGGATACAAGATCGAACGACCCAAGGGCCGAAAACTGTGGATCGACTCTCACGAATGCGGACTATCCCTGATCACCGATCCGGATCATCCGACGAGGAGAGGAGCCGCCCGACAACAAGACACTACGCCAGACCTTACGTTTGTGCGCTATGCAAAGGATGCAGAGTGGACAAACACTTGGGAAGATCTGGGTAGCGACCACTATGTGCTAAAGATAACGATCCGCGCGGGCCCTGGAAAGCCGCGGGGCAGAAAGTGCAAGATCACGGAATGGGATAAGTTCCGAGAGCTGATGGGCGAATACGAGACGGAAGACGTCACAAATATTGGCGAGTGGATGGAATGCCTGCTGGCGGCTGCCGAGCGGACGACCAAGGTGATTCCGGAAGAAGCGGACGTGGTCGCTGCGGATAGCCGACTCTTACACTTATGGGAGGCTAAGGCTAGTCTGCAGAAGCGGCAGCGTACGCAACGTAACAATCGGAACCTTCGAAGAAAGATCGCTGAACTCAGCAGAACGATCGAGACGTACGCTGACCAGGTTACGCGCCAACAGTGGCAGGATACCTGCGAAGGGTTCGACGGTCAGCCCAATGTACCCAAAACTTGGAACATACTGCGGCACCTACTGGATCCGGACGGTTGTAAGACGGCTCAGCGTAGCAAGATGTGCGAGATCATTCGAAGTCACAAGGGTGACGAGGACGACCTAGTAGAGGAGATCCGTACGCGATATATTGGTGACAACCCGCCGAGAACACCCACGACATACGGCGGTGCAGACAACGAGGTGCTAGACGCGGACATTTCTGAGTTTGAAGTTGCCGAGACACTGCGCAACTTGAAGACCAAGTCTGCTCCGGGACCGGACGGTGTCACCAACAAGATGCTGCGGAACCTGAGCAACGAAGCCATAACCGGCATCACAAAGTACATCAACGAGTGCTGGAGACAAGGCCAGCTACCACGGCAGTGGAAAACGGCCAAAGTGGTCCTGATCCCGAAACCAGGCAAGAAGCCTCAGCTCGACGCTCTGCGCCCAATCTCGCTCACGTCCTGCGTGGGCAAGATAATGGAGCACGTCGTTCTACGGAGAATCAACGACTTCATGGAGAGGAACCAATTGTTCCCTCACACCATGGTTGGATTCCGGCCACACTTGTCTACCCAAGACGTGATGCTGAGGCTCAAGCACCAAATCATAGATGGCGAAAAAAGCTCTCATCTCGACACTAGGGTGATCCTGGGCCTCGACCTTACGAAGGCCTTTGACACTATCAGGCATGATGCGGTCCTTGAGAACCTGGAGAAGCTGGGCGTAGGGCGACGCACGTTCAACTACATTCAAGACTTCCTCAGCGATCGGACGGCGCAAATCTCCATCGGTGGCGTCACGTCCGACGACATCAATCTAGGCGGGCGAGGCACACCTCAGGGCTCGGTCCTGTCGCCCTATCTATTTAACGTGGCGATGATTGAGTTGCCTGCGAAGCTCAGCAAGATCGAGGGGCTGCACCACAGTATATACGCAGATGACATCACGCTCTGGATGACCGGCGGCTGTGACGGGTTCATCCAAGACACGCTACAAGAAGCGATACGGACAATTGAAGAGTACGTCACTCCGAGGGGCCTAACTTGCTCTCCAAAAAAGTCGGAGCTCCTCCTCCTCAAACCAGTTCGGTCCCGCCAGCTGCCGTCGGACATCGCGCTCTACTCGCAAGGACTGCGTATCCCGTCGGTGAAGAGCATTCGCATCCTGGGTCTGCGGGTCCAGGCGGATGGCAACAACTACGAGATGATCGAATCGCTCAAGGCGTCAACTTACCAGATCACCCGGCTTATTTCACGCATCTCAGGCCGTCACTTCGGAATGAGGGAAGGAAATCTTGTACGCCTCGTCCGCGCTTTCGTCGTGAGCCGGCTGGCATACGTCCTTCCCTTCCTACGGCTCGGGGTGGCGGAGAAAGCCAAACTTGACTGCTTGATTAGGAAGGCCTACAAGCGAGCACTTGGCATCCCGGATTCTACGTCAAACGAAAAGCTGGCGGCGCTGGGCCTACATAACACCGTGGAAGAGATCGTCGAGGCGCAACGGACGTCTCAGCTCGAACGGCTAACAAAGAGCGCGACCGGGCGTCACATTCTCGAAAACCTCGGCATCCGCTACGAAAGACAAACGGGCGAGAAAATAGACGTGCCGAGACGGGTCCGGGAGAAGCTTACCATCCCAAACCTGCCACGTCACATGCACCCCGTGCACCATGTGGAGCGACGAACGGCGAGAGCCAAGGCCCTTCGAAGACTACTAGAGAAGGAAGAGGGCGTCTACTACACGGACGCTGCGAGGTACGACAGGGATGCCATGGCAGCAGCCGTGGTTGACAAGCAAGGGAAGATCGTTGCGAGCTGCAGTGTCCGGACGACAGAACCGGAGGTAGCCGAGGAAGTGGCCATCGCTCTGGCACTCAAGCTGCAAGACGCTAAAATCATTGTCAGCGATTCACAGATGGCGATTCGCCAATACGCCAAGGGACGGATCTCGCCGGTTACGCTTCGAGTACTAGGTGATCCTGAAAAGACTGCGAAGGTGAAGCTGATCTGGACTCCAGCACACTCGTCGCTCCCCGGCAACGAGGAGGCTCACGACGCGGCCCGAGGTCTCACTCGCCGGGCCGGAGCAACGTCGGACCCCTCCATCGAATCGTCGACGGGGGGCGACAGACTGGTTACGTTCCGAGACATCCTCGATCATTACGCCGGCGAAAGGATGCGCTATCCTCCGGCGCATCCCTCGCTGGACAAAAGACAAGCGGTAGCTTGGCGGCGACTACAGACAGGCACCTACCATAGTCCTGCCCAGCTCAGTGGATGGTATCCGGATCGCTACAAGGGAGACTGCCAGCTATGTGGTGCAAGAGCGACTCTTCGCCACATTATTTGGGAATGCAGCCGGCTCGACCGCAAAGCCCAGCCGCTACTAAAAAAGATCACCAACCAAGAGAGCTGGGAAGCTCTTCTTCTCTGCACCGACCTTGAGGTGCAGGAACAAGTCGTCCGACTGGCCGAGGACGCCGCTGGAGTCCAAGGGATTCTGGCCGTCGCCTAAGGGGTGATTGGGAGGGGACTCCTAGATGGGCTTCTGACCAATCGCTTAGTCTTTCTGGGCGTAATTAAAGGTTGCCTGCTGCTGCTGCTGCTGC